TAGACATACATAGACATACATACACATACATACACATACATACATACATACATACCTACATACGTACATCCAGGCAGGCAGGCAGGCAGACAGACAGACAAACAGATAGACATACGTACATAAACACATACATACATACATACATACATACATACATACATACATACACACATACATACATACATACATACATACATACATACATACATACACACACATACACACATACAAATATTAAAACAATACATGCAGGCATTCATCAATGCATGCATACAGTCTTTCCATCCGTTCGTTCATTCAGCCATTCAGTGAGGCTGTCAGTCATTCAGTGTGGCCGGCAGGCAGGCAGAAGCCTCGATGAATTCAGGGCCTTTAGCAGCGTACTTCTCGTCAAAAAAGGCCCCCCGGGTCCTGCACCTTCACCGCAACCCTGCGATCCAAGGCCCTTCAAAGCCTTCACACGAAGCCAATCACCCTGAGCCCTAAACTCCACACCCCGGTTCACGAAGCTCTGCAGGCAAAGTCTTCGAATCCCGAGCCCACCGCGGCTTTTCAAACTGAGTGTACTTCAGGTTTAGGGTTTGTCAAACTGCATGCTAGGGCAAAGCCGACAGCTACGATGGATCACGGGCACAATCATCTCCAACTGACGTGAAACCCAAGAACGATGGAAATCCTCGAACCGTATCAACCATGAGACCCCCCACACCAAAACTGTGACAGCACAAGAAGAGTCACCCAAAATCCTACACCCCAAACTCCCTTTGCCGACATGGTAGGGTTTGGGGCTTTAGGGTGTGATGGGATGTAGAGTTTATACATGTCGGGTTTGAGTTTAGGGAGCTTCAAACACAAAACCCTGAACGCACCTCGGGATCCTTTCCATTCATGAGCTCAGGATCCACGGAATCCTCACAGATCGCCCAGACCTGCAGGCAGGGAGTAGCTTACGAATCAGCTGCTGCTGTCACTTCCCGTTCCACTGCTACTTCTACTCTACTTCTGTCTCTACTTCTACTACTGCCACTTCTGCTGCTGCTGCTGCTGCTCCTGTTGCTCCTAAACTACATCTACTACTACGTACCACCACACCACCGGCACCGGCACCAGCACAAAAAACCACCACCACGACGACGACTGCTCTACTGCTGCTGCTGCTGCTGCTGCTGCTGCTGCTGCTTGCTGCTGCTGCTGCTGCTTGCTGCTGCTTGCTGCTCTTGCTGCTGCTTGCTGCTGCTGCTGCTGCTGCTGCTGCTGCTGCTGTACTACTGCTGCTGCTGCTACGTACTGCTACTGCTACTGCTACTGCTACTACTACTACTACTACTACAGTACTTCTTCATCTACTCCTAGCCACCAGCGACTCCTTAACTAAAATTTTGGGGCTGGTGGCGGCCCCGAAAGAAAGAAGAGTAGTAGAAGCTGTAGTCTCGACCACACAACTATCTGAAGACATCTGGATAGGTTTGCTCAGAAGCGGGGGGCAGTCTTTTGCACAGAAAATGCACTTCAAAGCAAATCCCCTGAAAAAACAATCGCTTAGTGGGCATTAACAATAGCCTTAGCTTGCTCTTCAAATTTCAGCACAGTCACTGCAAGTGGTTTTCTATGTAAAGGCGCGAAAGTGCCCCGATACAACACAAGGAATCAAGGTCTTTCGAATGGAATGCGCACTGAAAAAGGCGTATGTGCTCCATGAGCCGTGTCTTCTGGGAAGTGTGCGCAAAATTCGGTATGCTCGCCTGAACATGCTTCCGAATACCGTCGGCCAGGTTCGTCTGTGCCAAGCGCTCCTTACCTCACAGAAACCTTGTTCGTGAATTGGAGCTGGCGGCAGCAGTGCTGGTGGTAGCAGCAGCAGCAGCAGCTGCACTACTACTAGTAGCAGCAGTAGCAGTAGTGCTAGTACTCAGTTTAGCTTTGTCGGGACGATATTCTTACACCCCAAACATGCTATTGTACGACACGAGGTTCGCGGGAGCCCGCTGGCGCCTATTTTTACACCCACTTTTCTTGTTACGAGGTTCGCGGGGCACGATGGGGTCCTACTGTTACTACTACTCTTGGCAGTACCAAGCCCCGTTAATACAAATAACGAATAAACCCTAGGCCCTAAACCCTAAACTAGTCACTTTAAATTTAAGCTGTCGGGCCGGGGGTTAATCTGGGAGTCAGGGCTGACAGGGTTGAACCGGGGGGTTCAGGCAAAGAGATTGAATTCAGCGGTCTGAATTTAGGATTTCACCAAGGGTTCGAATAAGGGGCTTGGTCTTTGATTCAGGATTCTGTACTCCCTCCTTGCAAGGCTAATCTTTGACTAACCCGAAACACTGAACACCGACCCCAGCTCTCCAGTTTACTCGGGGAACTTGAGGTTGAGATTTGAGGTTGTATGGGGAGTGAAGTAAAGGTTACATACGCTACAAAGTTAAAGAGGCGTGTTTCAGGTGAAGGCCGTGCTGTGTCGGGCCGTGGATACAGTGAACAGGAGTTTTGGGTTCAGGGTTTAGTTTGGATGAAGGTGTTTGCATTTCGGACTCGTGTTCTCTGCTGTCGGTACAAAATTTGAGAACTTCACCATGAGCCACCGCAAGAATTTCGATGAGTCTTCGATGGTGACTCGAGGCTACACCATAAAGCCCCAAGAGTCAACCTAAGACTTCACCCAAACTCCCACCCCAAAACCCAAAGTTTCATGAACCCCTATAAAACCTAAACCCTAAACCCTAGCCGTCGGCCTTCACGCCCAGAGCGCCGGCCCAGCGCCGTAGCGCTGGAAGCTGCAGGGAGAAGGGGATGAAGCGAGCGAGGCCCAGGTAGACGACGTGACCTCGGCTTTGGAGTTTTTCATTCGTGCCTCAAGGGCTTTGGATTTCGGATTTCGGGTTTCGCGTGTAGGGCTTCGGGTTTAGGATGACTCTACGGCTTTGGGGCTTGGGGTTTGGGGACTGCTTCGGGTGGCAGAGCGGGGTGAACTCCGGCTCCACCACGTGCACCGTCCGTTCCTGCGTCCGCACCAACACTGTGGTGCAGTAGATGCTCACCTGGCAGCGAACATGGACACAACACACATTATTAAAGTAAGGAAAGCAGTACTCCGCCCACCCACCCACCCACCCACCCACCGACCGACCGACCGACCTACCTACCTACCTACCGTAACCTACCTATGTATCTGTCTACCTATCTGCCTAATATCTCTACCTATCTGTCTGTCTGTCTATCTATCGACCTACCGATCTATCGATCTGTCGGTCTAACTATCTATCTTAGTTCTAGCTATCTATCTATCTATCTAGCTATCTAGCTATCTGTCCGTCTATCTATCTATCTATCTATCTATCTATCCATCTATCTATCTATCTATCTATCTATCTATCTCTCTCTCTGTCTGTCTATCTCTCTATCCATTCTTGCATAGGTATAACTACAAGTGTACACACCACTTGTTAGTCGCATGCACAGATCGCTCACCCTGCGAATTCTGGCGTCTGCCAAATACGCGTCTCGAAGACTGACCTCCTCGATGAGACGACTGAGGACTTCGGCACATGAGACTTCTGTGTCAGTATTGCTTAGATGAGCTGCCATGGTTCGTTTTCGAATACCTTCGTAGAGGCCAGCCATAGTAGGATCTCACATCGGATACCATAGCGAATGCTATGTCCCTAGTCCTTCCTGCTGTGTACGACTCTGCTATCCCTGATGCAAGCTGCAGCTGATATTGCATTTCGAATCTGGGCGCTTTGGAATGCCTCTAGGGTGCTGCAAAGTTTCAAGAAGAATCGGAGAGCTGTTTAAGGATGTCTTCTATTTGCCAGTTGATGCTGCAGGCTTCTGGGCCCTCGACGACCATTGCTGGTGTGTCAGAAAATATCCTAAGCCCTTCATCCCTTAAACTTCGAAAACCTTAAGCCCCCAAATCCCTAAGCCCCAAAACCCTGAAGAAAAACTCCAAATCGGGCGCCTCGAAGCGATCCGATCGATCCGGTTTCCTCTTTCTCTTGGCCTCCGAAGAAGGTTTAGAGTTTCGGGGAAGAGTGCCATAATCCAGGGATTTCCGAGAGGTGCTGTCGGGTGCTTGCGGTAAGTGTGAAAAGAGGTATTGGCTAGTCTGCCCACGTGGCGCGCCTGCAAGCGCACCCTGGAAATTGGTGCTCTCGCTGTCATGCAGTGCATAGTCGGCGCTCATTTCTCACTATGTACACAGCCCCGCTCGGACCTCGTCCGCTTGCGAATTCCGATTCATTGGCCTCTATCTATTTTTCGCCTTCGAAATCCTCTCAAAGTCCACCAAAGTCGCATGGTGCGCTGTCGTTCGCCGTGCGGAGATCTACGATGGCATATTCTGTCTTAAATTCTTCAGGGCCCTGCAAAGAAAGAACAGCTCTTTAGCCTTCGCCCGCAGTTTCAGGGATTCAGGGCAGGGCTTCTTGATTCATGCCGGTTTTAGGGTTTAACTGTTTTTTTCAAGGGGGTGGTTTTCAGGTCCGGGTGCTAGTCTTGAGTTCCTGTTTCAGAGGTTCAGATTATTATTCTTCTTCTTCTTGCTATTATTCTTATTATTATTCTTATTATTGTTAGTATTGTTTCAGGGGTTCAGAGAGGTGGGCAAAGCGTTGAATATGCCGCAATGTTCAGGGAGGTGCAGCTGCTGCGGCTGCTACTACTGCTGCTGTCGCTCCCCTCACGACGACGACGACCAGGACTGGCTTCATAGTTATAACCTATAACTATAACAGATGCGGTTAGTACCTAGTTGCCGTTCTTGTATCTTCGACTGACATCGTTGTTGCCTCTACGTAGCAGCTGTAGCACGTACGCAGCGTTGTGGCTGTTGAGATTGTCAAAGCCACAAGCATAACTGCTGCTCCCCGACAGACTTTGAGCTCTGAAGCTGTGCGGAAACCTACTGCTGCAAGTATCCCACCGCGGATGCATTGAGACTTATTGCTGGCATTGCTGCATGATAACTGCAATTCTAGATTGGATACTGCCCCAACTCCGTAACAGCTGGGTAGTATTCATAATGAGGATATATACATATATATATATATCTATCTATCTATCTATCTATCTATATATATATGTATATATATACAAGGATCTTAGTAGTAGCCTTGTCATAGACTGTTACTGTATGGGGGGGGGCAGTACCCAAATTACAGATATGGAGATCGGAACTGATGCCGGTTCCGGCCAACCTGCTCGGACAGGAAGGGGTACTCCGATTTCTGCTGTTTGATCCAATCCTGACGGGCTTGGAAACTCTAACATACGGTTCATGATATACACCCTGCATTACCCATAATAACATACCATACTTCCCATATTCTGGGGTCCTTAAGGTAATGCAGGATCTATATCATCAACAGTAGAGGCCTTGATGCTTGGAATTTTGGGCTGTATACTTACACTGAACAAAAGTGGAGATTTTCGAGAGTTCTAGGTTACACCCCGAGCTCTTAGGACAGGGTTTGAGTGCTTGACTCGCCTTATCATCATCCTGATGGCATTTTTTACAAACCACAGTCATCACCAACAAATACAACGACAATCCTTAGCAAAATCGCTGCTTTTCATAACAGAATGCATTCTCCTGAGTTGTCACCTCTGCCGTGCTCAACCCGCAGGCTTTTGCGATCTTGAAGGACGAGTTTCATGATTACACTTGTGAGTATGATGGTGACTATGAGCGTCACTGCTAGCTAGGTGTATTTGGAATTCAGTGGCTACTGTAGGCCCACATGACTTCTCCGGTCCCCCGAAGAAGAACCAGCCCAAACGAATTTTCATCGGACAGGGAACAGCATGATTACTGCTGAGTCCCTACGCTGTGCCTGATACTGCAACGACATGCTTGTTTGGTACTGTCTTGCTTTACACGATTGCTCTTGCGCGCGACCTTCCACAAAAAAACGCATGGGGACTGTACCAAGACACCACAAGCGGAAAACAGAAGCAGGACCTCGGAACATCCTCACATGCACCCAAAACCCCTGTCGTCCAAACCCGACACCTCATCTACCATGCACCGAGCCCACACATGTACCCTCTACCTAAAACCCCTATGTACTCTAAACCCTAGACTAGACCCCATATAGCTCTAACACAATAGACTACTAAAAACCCCCATAAAACCTACAACCCTACAAAACCCTACCAAACACCACCC